ATGTTGTATATGCATTTTTGCAGTATATGGTATACATCGCATTGTCTTCTTTTCTGATGAAAAGTTGGGAAAATATTTGCGTACATAAGACGTACGCAGAGGTTATTCAGGGGGTACAAGAGGGTTATACCCCTCTATAACCCCCCTGTAACCTACAAATGAGTTTCGCGCCTCTGTAGTTTCATGGGTACAAATAAGTTACATGGAGGTTACAAATGAGTTACACAGAGGTTGCAGTAACCCAGATATAACCCCTGTACCCCCTGAATAACTTCTGACGTACGCAGCGATGCATACGTTTTATATACGCAAATATTTTCCCAAAAGTTGTGAAGGAATTTCAAAATCACTGAAATTTTTTTAAGATGAAAGTAATATAAATTTTGATGGATTATATGTATTGCATTAATGTTAAAAATAAAGTGAATGGTCCCTTTTTTATGAAGGGCGGGCGTGTTGTTGCTGTTGCTATCAAGTCGACTAAACCCTCCATTTGGGTTCATTAGAGCTCGAGTCATAAGCTCTTTTTTTAGTAGAGGTGTCAAAATAATGCTCTTGATTATTTAGACCAAGTCATTTTAGTCCTTGAGTAAATGAAAATGTCGAATTAGACCCTACTTTTTTAATGAGTTGTAATAGTTTACAATGAGGACTATTTTAACCCCTGTTAAAAAAGCATGGGGGCTAAATTAACACTTTTATGGACTAAAAAGCTTTTTACACTTCTCATTTTTATTTTTCATTACTGTAGGTAGAGCTGCAAAAAACTTTTTTCTTCGTAAATAAATTTTGTTTGATTCATTTGTTAAGCAAGCATATATTCATCCGAGCCGGTCAAGGAACAAGATGCGAAAGCAGAGATGGAGTGAAAAAGATGGCAAAAAAAAGGTATGAATCAACTATTCACATGTCATAAAATGTAATTAAATAATATATTTGATGTATTCCCAACCAATTTTCAAATTGGCTAAGTTAGTATGCTTTTATTTTATTTGCTGCTTTGCCTTTTAGGAGGAGAAAAATGAGACTAAATGTGTATAGCCAAAATACAACCATGCTTAGGGATGTGCATTTAGTCGGTTTGGCTAGATCGATTTGGAAATTTTATAAACTGCAATGAATCGAGATCTAGGATCCAAATACCCGATCCAAATAATTTTTCAGAAGAACAAATCATTTTGTATGATCGATTCGATTCTACAAAAACCAAATTTTAAATTTTAAATCAGCCAAATCCTGAGTAAAAATATTCGTTATATAATTTAGTCGTCCATTCCGCCATACCGGAACCGCACTTCCGAATATATGGCTCAGTCTTAAAAAAAAAAAAAATTGTAACTGATAAACTAACCTATACAAATTTTAAAACCAAATATGGAACCGTTATCTTAGAAACCGAACTAAATTAATAAATTGGTTCGGCTCAGATCGATTTGTTGGATTTATCCAAATAGTGCACACCCCTAGCCATACCGAACTGAGTAACAGGATTTGGATGATCCACCAAGGCAGATCCCGGAGTTCCTTAACTATCCAAGCAAGGAGGACGAGTTGACGGGTATGAGCTATCGAAGCATGGGCTATTGAGTGCAAGCCGCCAAACGAATCTTATCACCTCATATATCAAGCTCAAGTAACACATCTAATGAGATGACTCACTCTACTTCATAATCTCTAGATAAACTTAACCAAAGAAGACCCAATTCACTTCAAGGTCGAATTAGCCTAACAAAGAATTATATCAAGAAATGAATAAGATAAGGAGGATGTGACCCGACCAACACACGAAAAAAACATGATGAAATACAACGTTATCAAAGGATAAAACATTAGAATAAAATTAATTATATGTCAATGTCAAGAGAGGACAATAGGATAATTCAAAGTTCTCTAACCATATATGTAAAATAATCAATTTTTATATTATAAGAAAAAATCCTCAATAAATAGGGGAAGAACCATGTAATAAAGGATGGTTAATTAATACTTGAACACTACATCTATCATTTTTTAGTGAAGATGGTGATCCCCCTCATTATCTTCTTCCTAGCTTTGATCGAGATTCAACACATTAATAAGAGAGTAAAGATGCTGATGAGTGGGGTTATTTGGGCCATCCTCATTGCTCAGATGCTATGTTTAAAATCATACAAAAAAATATCTATATATGATTAATTTGGATGCTAGTACAAGTGCCTAGGGGCCAATCCACATACATTTCAAGCTGAAATTCTTCTAGTAACATTTATTTTTTAATTTTTTAAATGCTATATATATATAAAAGGAATGGTCGGAGGCTATTATACGAGCCTCCATCATTCCTCATGCGCATAAGAATTCAAGTACCATACCCAACACTTGGGGGGAATCGAACCCTAGACCAGGGGACTTAATACGCGGCACAAATACTATATATATATATATATATGTGTGTGTGTGTGTGTGTGTGTGTGCGCGAGGGCGCGCGCGCGCGCGCGCCCGACAAGCCGTGACTTGTTGGTTGGCTGGATTCACTGCAAGTCTCCTCAGGTCACGGGTTTGAACCCCCGTGACGAGGGGTTCTCGAATGTTAGGCACATGGCTTGGGCTCTCATCATGAGACCAAAAAACAGATGAGAAAGCAGTATTTGGGCCCCTGCTAAATAGTAATTTCCTTATACAATATATATATATATAATATATATATATATCCTTGACAATATATTTATTTGTCAAGAATTAAAACAATGTCAATTTTTCAATTTTTCTTAGGGCTAAAGCACTCATAAGGACAATATTCATCCACCCTCAGAAAAGAGGTTAGTTTCATTACAGTAAATCTCTAGTCAAGGGAAAAGAGCAATAAGAAAAATACAAAAAAAGCCAATATCCTTGCTAATAAAATATATTAAAATAACAAATATTATAAATTTCTATTCTAACTATTAACGAAATAAAATTACTAATTCTAATAACTCACAAGAACTGCTAGAAAAGCAGCAGAACTGCTGTCCAATTAGAGAAATGTTGAATCACATCTACATCTAGCACCAATATCACACTCAATTCAAGGCAAGGCAGCCATTACTGCCATCCCAAACGTGCATCATACATTTCATTCCTTTTGCAAAATTTTGATTGTTGAAGATGGAGAAATATCATCAAATATACAATAAATACACAAATAAAAAACTCAAGTTTGTCATGTTGATCAAAAATACATACCAACAAGCATAATTTCTGTGGGAGAAGGCTCTGCTACCAGATGGATTAGTTTCAGTCACAGTTCAGCTTCTCAAATTCTCTTCCATCAACATTATTCATCTGATTAATGAGAGAACGCCTTAGATTACCGGGTGGAGTCTCCTTTATGCCAGCAAGATAAACATCAGACAAGAAATCAAACTTTAGTGTTGCGATTGGAGTGGATGGCTTCTTCATATCATCCTCTTGAAGAATATCTCCGATCCTTGAGAGTATTTTGAACGCTAGGTTCATAATAACCTTGGAATAAGCCTCTAATATGGAGTGGCCGACGTCCTACATGAAAGAGGAAAAAGGGGGCTTTAGGCATTGATGATTTCAGATTGATTTTGATTGGAAACAATCTGGAATAAGTTGACTTTTCTTGCTTCAAATCGTTTTCAAATTTCGGATCAAAATTTGAAGTTTTTGGCGATGTTTCACATAAAAATTAGGAGTTTTTAGTTTTCAGCGAAAGAACATCAGTTTGATTAAACTACGGAGTGGATTTAGTTTTATTAGAATTCTATTATTGAGATCCCACTATAATTCACATTTGTTGTACGTTGAGGTTAATCATACTCCTTTCTATTTTGACTTCAATTGCAAAATAATAATAATAATAATAAAATGTCAAAATAGCCCCCTAACTATTTACATGAGGTCATTTTAATCTAAGAGTCTATAAAAATGTCAAACAAGTTCCTAAACTGTTTAAATTGGGGCTACTTCACCCTATATTAAAATAGTCTAAGAACAAAATTGATACTTATATAAATTTTGGGACCAAAATGATCCTCTGCAAAGAGTCAATGAACTATTTTGACACTTTTCACAATAATAATAATTGTAAACGAAATCTTAACTCAATCGAACTATCAAAACTACCTAATCTGGGCTTTTTGTGAGACGAAGAAATCTAAACCAAAAGTTTTAAAAACTTGGTTTGAAGCGTATGAAAACTACTAACCTTGTTGTATTGAATCTTGGTGACTTCTATGAAGGTTTGAGGCAGATTTGGGAATCTGTTCTTCAGTAATTTAACAAGCATCTCTGCTCTTTCGATCCACACCTCAATTTTTCCAACAACAGATCCACTATCCCTCACGAAGTTCCAGGGATAATGGATTGGTGATCTTTTGATTTCCTCATCAGAAATCTTCTGCTTCCAGGCAAACAAGGCGCCCTCTAACCGGTTTAATGCTTCAAGAACAGAATGTTCAGCTTTTAAATTCATAGAAAGTAATGTTTCCTCAAAGGAGTAGGGTGCAGCAGTAATCAATCGGTATATCTCCTCCCCTAGGCTTGCTCTTCCCGACTGCAAGGAAAATAAATTGGGACATTTACATACTGCAATTCTTATGTGTTTAAGTATCTAATGCCGAAACTTCACTTTTTTACATTTATATCACCCAAATCTTTCATATCATATTAAAAATGAAACTATTTTTACTTTTAAAAAATAAAATACACTATTTCATGCATAGATTATGTGACATGATGTAAAAATTCAAGTTTAGGTGTTAGGAATGTAAATGCATAAGAATCGAATGGTATTTATGTAAATCTTTCAGAGCAATTACGAGCTTAGGAGATTTGGGAAATAGCTTATATAAACTTGTAAGAATATCCCTATATTTTGATGTCTTTTAGAAGCAATATTTTTAGAATAATGATAATAATTTATTCTATTTCATAAGTATAAAAATACCGAACATACAAATTGAATCTTACCATAAATGATAATAGGCCAAGTATATGGGGTCGGTTCTATGAATTCTTATTTTTCATTCATTCTTGTTATGACTATTCCCTAACAATTATTTTACAAAGCATCTATACTAGTTAACTTAAGCATAACTCCTTTCATTTCTACTTGCAAATTAGTTTTAGCACTCATCTAATGGAGCGCATTTTTCATTGTGCGTGTCCAAACTATAATAATGATATCAAGTTTATATATTCATAATAGGAATATAAGCATTAAGAAACATGTGCATGTTCTGACTTGTTTTTCTTTTTAACAAAATAGAAAGGATTATTAACATAATTACTAGGGGCTATTGCATACACAACACCCAATTCTTCTGCATTTGCATATCTAACACCTACTTTATTTTGTACATTTATACCACCAAATCAGTAGTATCGCATTAAAAAAAACACTATTTTAACTTTTTAAAAGTGAAGTACACCTTTTCGTGCATAGTTAAGATAGTGTATATGTAAAAATTAAAGGTTAGAGGTTAGATATGAAAATACATTTCTAATACCTACTTTGTTTTATTACATTTATACTGCCCAAATCTGTCATATCACATCCCAAAAAGCACAAATTTAACTTCTTAAAAGTGAAGTACACCTTTTCATGCAAAGATAAGGCAGCGTATATGTAAAAATTGAAGGTTAGGTGTTAGATATGAAAATACATAAGAATTGAGTGGTAGGTATGTAAATCTTCATAATTTATAAAGTTTTACGACTATTTTACTTAGAAAGCGCAGACTATAGGACATGTGTTAGCAAAGAATCCTAAAAATTATCAAATTACAAACTTTACCTTTGGGAGGGCATCTGTCACAGCTTCAGGTATGGGCATTTGAAGTAATATTTGTTCATTAATAGATATAGCAGCCTTCAGAACCTGATTCACAAGTTTCGCCCGAATGCCAAGCCTTTTTCTCAGAATTGGTGAAAGCCCATACTCCGGAACCCTTGGTGAAGGAAGCCACCACCTCTTGCCGCCGCTAGTGCGGCCATCACCTTTGTTACCTCCTTCAACATACCAGAACTCTGTATCTACCATTGAGTCTAAAACATCCTGCAGATAAACCATTTTAATCACACTTCATGATGGAAATGGGAGATCCATAAGACGAAAAAAAAAAAAAAAAAATTGCAATGCTAGCAACAGCAAATATGTTTGTTTTCATTGAAAAAAAATGTAAAAAACATAGACCTGCAGGAAAAAGAAAAAGAAAAGCTGGGACTCACAATAAGCATAGAATCTAGTTTTTGAAGAGCAGGAAGATTGACGTGAATGTCTGACCGAGCTTTGGGGGTCATAATCTGCTCTAAAGAAGAAAATAATTCATGACACGAGAGTAACAAATAGGAAGATTTACATACATACCACTCAATTCATATGCATATCTAAACTTCAAATTTTACATACATACCTCCTTACCTATGCATAAAAAGTTGAATATCATTTTTTAGATAAAATGGTGGTATTTTGTATGTGATGTAAAAGATTTGGGTGGTAAAAAAGTAAAAAGCAAATTTAGGTCTTAGATATGTAAATACATAGTTATTGGATGGTACGTGTGTACTAGCTTTAATTAAATAGAGAAAAGAATCAATTTAGTCCTATAAGTGTCAATTTTTTATGTGATATGAAAGATTTGTGAGGTAAAAATGTAAAAAGCAAATTTAGGTGTTAGATATGAATACATAGTTATTGGATGGTATGTGCGTACTAGCTTTTAAATTAAATAGAGAAAAGTATCAATTTAGTCCCATGAGTGTCAATTTAGTCCACAAACTCTTTCAATAGAGGCTAGAATAGCTCTCCGAACTATTTTAAATCATAAAAAGTATCAATTTAGTCCCATGAGTGTCAATTTAGTCCAAAGACTCTTTCAATAGAGGCTAGAATAACTCTTCGAACAATTTTAAATCATATTCAAAGAGATGGGGACTAATATGGCATTTTTATAAACTCTAGGACTAAAATGTTGTGATGTAAATGATCAGGGGATTACTTTGAAACCTTACTCGATATAAATATTCAGAAAGCATGCTTCATATTTAGGAGGACTTATACCTCTAACATTTTACCACTGGATCCACGTTGCTTTGCAGGCACCAGCTCCACCATGTAGCTAGTTGGAGAAAGCAACCAGTCCATTTCTCTGCGCCATCTGTTCTTTCTTTCTTCAGGTAAAGGTTCAAGTTTCCAGAGCTCGCCGAATACAGATACTGAGTTACCATTTAATTTGTCCAGAACCAATAATATGTTACCAGAGAAAAGATACATTTACTACTATATTAAACCATGTAGATAATATATCAAGAATACAGTTATTTTGATTGTAAGCTCCACTGAGAAAACAGCTTCTCTTGCAATTTAGGGAAAAGAACGTACACCCTTTTTTTAAGAGGGCGGGCCTAGATAAATGTCAAAATGATCCCCTGATTTTTTGTAGGGGGCAATTAGTCCCAGAGTTTATAAGAATATTTAATTTAGTCCATTGACTTTTTTGATGAGAGTTAAAATAGTCCGTCCAAATAACTATTTCAGCACATATTAAAGAGTCTGGCAAATAATTTGGCACTTTTATAGATCGGGACTAAAATGATCCGATGTAAGTAATCAGGGGACTATTTTGATATTTTATACAATACAAAATTTATTTTTAAGGTCATTCAATTATTTAAGCACCCAATTCACACGAATGAATTTCAACAAATTGTTCCTAGAATAATTGCCGCTCTATAATCATAAGTTAGGAGGGATTTAAAATTTACAAACAATGGTGATTTTCCGAGGATGAAAAATGATAATGAAAAAAATGCATCTCTTTACCTGATAGGCTAGTGATAGCCTTGGAGAGTGCCAAAGCAGCGCTTATCCCCTTAGAACCCCCAGAAGTATCATCCCCAAGCAGCAATTTTGCAAATCTTTCCCTCATGATCTGAACATCAAGATGATGCATGGTGCAAGCAATTGGTATTTTTCCTCTTTTGCAAAGACGGAGGTTATGATAGTTGGTCGCCATCTCTTCGAGCAAATGCTCTTCATCTTGCTTTCTCGATACCACACACAGCGAGGAGAAAGAGGATCTCGAGGTCTCCTTGCTAGACGAACAGCTTGCACAGTCCTCGTCCAACGAGTCCGTCACAGCACAGCCTTCGCTTCGGCTCATGCCGCTGCCCCCGCTCTCATCGTCATAGGAGCAGCTGTTCAGAATGCAGCTCTCAAGTCCACTATAGGTCATCACCCCTGCAATATTGGTGGCTTTCGTGCATAAAAAAAAGTTCAAAAAGGCCTGGGGGCTGTCATGCAAATGCTTGCAGGCAGGTTTGAAACCGTATAAAAAGAAAATTTGGCTTAAAATATCACTCAAGCAAATTAGAATAAGCATATACTCCCTAGTCCATATATATCTATATATATATATATATATATGAAAAAAATGCCAAATTGGTCCAAAGCTCCTTTAAATTGGTGCTGAAATAGTCCTCCATCTGAACTATTTAGCCCATATTACCAGAAACCGAAAACTAAGGGTATGTTTGAGGTAATTGCAGTTGTTTAAAAAAGTAATTTTGAAGCTGATTTGGAAGTAGGTGTTGTTCAAGAAGTTGCAATGGCTGTTATAACTTTTTTTTAAATTTTCAAAAATTTAGACTGTAGTTTTCTGGCAGCCACCACACTTAGGGTGCATTTGGGGCAGCTTATTTGTTGCAGCGCGGTGGGAAGAAGCTTGACACGTTGTTTGGTTCGCGCGGTACAGAGGCTTATCTCGAAACGCACCCATAAACACAGGTCGCGGGCTTGACCTCACGGTCCGCATTTTTTCGCGTGCCTATTACCCAACTGCCCCCTGTTTTTGGTTTGTGGTTCGTTCTCCTCTCGTGTTTCTCTGCCTCGCTCTGCTTTCTCCTCTCGAGTCTCTGCTCTAGGTATTTCCTCTTCTTCTCTCACGGTGGGAGAATGATCGATTCGACAGCCTCTATTAGTTCCCCTTGTTCTTCGTTGTTATCCAATATCTTCTACCCTTCCTTCGCCATTATGCTCTTTGTGATTTGTGGTTCAATGCGGTGTGTTGCTTGCTCTTTGTAGTTTGTGGCTTTCCTCTATAGAAAAATTGATTAATTTATATGCTTCAAGGAAGGGGAAACAATCAATTGCATTTTTTTTTTTTTTTTTTTTGAAATTTGAAGATTTTTTGCCTTTGCCGTTTTGGCTCTTTGCTCTTTACGGTTTCTAGTTCAATGATGTTTCTGGATTGATGTTTGCATTTTGTGGCTTTGTTCTATGGAGAAATTAAAGTTTTCATTAACACTATGCATTGCTTCATAGTTTAACTACATGGATCACTATTTTCTTTGCTTGTAGAGCAGTTGACATGTTTTTTCTTTCTCCAACTTTTATTTTGGTTATCAAAGGCCATTCAGTGGCCATTCATATATAAAGAGCATTTCTTTTTTTCTGTGACATTTGGAGGTTGCCCGAAGGGTTTGCTCTCTGTCTCGAACGGATTGCTATTGGTAGTTTGCGGACACTATGTATGATGGATTGCTATTAGTGCTTTGCAGACACTGTATATGATGGGGTTGCTATTGGTGGATTGTGTCCTCTATGAAGAACCAATGAATTGTGTTGTTTTGTTGCTCCATCTCTTGGTTGGGTGGTATGTTGGTTTTAGTTTGTCGGTTGTGATGATGTGGTGGTGGTGGTGAATTGGTGTTGATGATAAATGTGTGGTGATGGTGGTATTTGTGTGGTGACAATGGTGGTGTGTTGGGGGTGTGTGTGGGGGTAGTTGTGATGTGGTGGTGGTGGTGGTGGTAATTGTACGGTGGTGGTGGTGGTGGTAATTGTACGGTGGTGGTGGTGGTGGTAATTGTACGGTGGTGATGATGGTGGGGTGGGGAGGTGGTGTGTTGGTGGTATGCGTGATAGTAGTGGTGATGTGGTGGTGGTGATAGTGATAGTGATAGTGTTATTGAAAAAACATTGGGTTTGAAAAAAAAATGGGTTATTTAATGAGATATGCTCACATATCCTTTCAACAAACAAGTAAAGATTGTTGGCGTTAGTATAGTGCAGATGAGGATCAATCACATATCCTTACTGAGGCATATGAATATCGCCTAGACCAATCAATATCACAAGTTGAATTTGATTTACATGACTCTTGTACATGGATAGGAAAGATGCTGGGGAGATGATGGAGTTGAGAGAGAAAATTAAAAGTGCAATAGTTAATGGGTGAAAGGATTTTATATGATGTATTTTCTATCTGTTTAATATGTTGCAAAAAAAATAATTGTTTATTACAAAGATGCTATATGCAATGATCACGTAGAATTTTGATTCGGTGCAAATTATTTTTTCGTTCTTTTTGCATGTATTTTTTGAAGACTATGATGACATAAATGACCTTAGGGGTTCTTCTTTATGGCCTTTGTGATGGTATGGTTTTGTTACACATGCGAGCACGGTATTACATGATTTAAAAACAACCAAGGTCCCCATTTTTATCACTCATATGATTGTTGAGGTTCTTCAATACGGTCTCTGTGACATATACGAGCTCGGTATTATATGGTTTAAAGGCAACCAAAAACCCCTTTTTTTAAGGTTTACTGTCTTTTTATAGTGATAGATTATTCGTCGATTTATACTTTGTGCTCTGAGACCCCATAACTTTATAAGACTACAATTGTTTATTTATATTATTCTTTTTAACTATAGTTGCATCTAACTGTTTGTGCTTTAAGATTTTAAACCTTCAGAAAAGATGAGTTTGAAGTCTTCCGGTGCCTCTAAAGTATTATGCTGCTACTGTGGGCTGCAGAATTCTCTGGGTACTTCGCCACAGAAGCATAGCTATGAAAGAAAATTTTAGAGGTGTCCAAGAAATAGATCAGAGAACTACAACTTCTTCAAATAGGCGGATCGGTTCAATGATTTCACATTCGATAGTGATCAGATGTGAAGTGTTTCGATGGAGAAGAGATTATCTCGTGAAATTGATCATCTGCATTTTAAATTCAACATCGTGATAACTTATGTATGTATGTATGTATGTATGTATGTATGTCTGTATGTCTGTTTGGATGGATGGATGGATGGATGGATGGATGGATGGATGAATGTATGTATGGATGGATGGATGGATGGACGTACGTATGGATGTATGTATGTATGGATGTATGGATGTATGGATGGATGTATTTGTATGTCTGGATGATATATGGATGGATGGATGGATTATGTATGGATGTATGGATGTATGTATGTATGGATGTATGTATGGATGGATGGATGTATGGATGGATGTATGTATGTATGTATTTCTATGTACGTATTTGTATGTATGGATGTATATATCTGTATGTATGGATGGATGCATGCATGCATGCATGTATGTATGTATGTATTTATGGATGTATGCATGTATAGATGTATGGATGTATGCATGTATGTATGTATGTATGCATGCATGTATGGATGGATGGATGGATGTATGGATGTATGCATGTATGGATGTATGTATGTATGGATGTATGCATGGATGGATGAATGCATGTATGGATGGATGTATATGTATGTATGTATATATGCATGTATGCATGCATGTATGTATGTATATGTATGTATGTATATACCTAAAAATGATTCATGGCCAATAATATTTGTGAAGTATACATGATTCTTATAATAATGTATGTCAGTATTAAACTTTTTGAAGTTGGCTGACCAAACTAACCAATCCACAAAGTGACAACTCTACAAGAAATTAATAGATTTCCTGGAGATTGGTGTCTAGCTTTCCCAATTTCAAAGTGACATAGTAAACTAACTATAAATACAAATATATATAGTTACATATAAAAAGAGATCAATATATGATTAAAGAGTCATTTATAGAACATACATATGAGTAAATATGTTGGCTTGTGAAAACCAAGATCATGTGTTTATATAGATTTCTCTTTTCTTTTATTATTTGTTGAATATCATTAGATCAATTTTAATTAAAAAGATCTCATATTTTAAATGTTATTTGGAACAGCTATAATATAACATATGTTTTATTCATGTCCTTTACTTTGCTCATATTATGCCCTGTGTTTTGTCGTTTATATTTTGCTCAATAGGATTTCACCTACTGAGTTTGTTTTTGACAAACTCACACTTTAAATTTATGAATTTTAGGTTGCTAGCTATACATCAATTAGAGGAGCTTTTTATATCCATGCTTCATGTATAGTTTGGATATGGCTAAGTTTATGACCATTTAATATAATTCAATTGTATAGTTATATCTTATTTCGTAGATTGGCAGATAAATTTGTCTGAACAAGCTTGGATTTAGATGCTCTGATAATTTATTTGGAGGATAAATATTGTTGTAATCATGTTTAATTGATTTGAAAATCTTCTTACTGTTAAGCTCACATCCTAAAAAGAAAGTTAGATGTAGATTTAAAAAGACTTGGGCCTATTCTATAAAAAATGATCTTAATTAATTAGAATTAAATGAAAATATGACACTCAATAAGACACAATGGAGAAAAAATATTCATGCAGCTGACCCCACTACCTAGTATAAAGGTTCATTGTTGTTGCTGTTGTTGTTGTTGTTGTTGTTGTTGTTGTTGTTGTAAGCTCACATCCTCATGCCAGGTGTTCTGCGAGTTCCTCCCAAGCCCGACGGGTGGTGTCTGACAGTTTAAGTCTTTCATTTAATGACACGAACTTTCCAACTATAATTCAAGTGCTTAATTTTAACTCATTTCAGCTAGGATCTAGGACTCAACTCATTTAAATGTTCACTTAAACTATAAGCCTATAGATATCAAAGTTGGGACGACGATAAATTTAATTCCAAAAATTTTTTACTCAAATATTACCTTAGGATTCCTACACCCAGATGAATTTTCTACTAATATGTCAATGATATGTAAAATACTCGTATATAAGAGAAATCATACAAACTTCTCAAAAGTTTCCTTTTAAATTAGAATAATATATCCAGTTTTCATCTTAAACACTAATATTTAGCTTGGCTTATCTATTAACAAATTTATATGCTCATAACATCATATGAAAGACAGCAAGGGTAATATAAATTCATTTTAAATCATATATCTCCAGCAGTATAATTTATTTTAAAAAAAGTAAGCACCAAAAAAGCATACTACAGTGGTTAAGGTAGAGTCGGAATGATTAGAAGTTTTCCTCTTCTCACACTAACATTTTTTTAGCAGCTCACCATTAAAAAAAAAAAAAGAAGATATACATACATACCACTCAATTCATATTTAATTGCATATCTAACACCTAAACTTCAAGTTTTAAATATATGCCCTCTGACACATAAATGTAAAAGCCTAGATATGTAAATACATAAGAATTTGGTTGTATACATGCAAATGCCCCATAGAAAAAAAAACGAAGGCTACAGTATACTAAGCCAACAGAACAAGTGTGGGGCGACTTTTCCGCTAGCAGAAGAACAGTAACATAAAGTGTCGGTCCCCGTGTCGCCCATTAACTGCTGTTTGTATCCACCTACATACCACCATTTATTGCGCCCAAAACTTTCTCTTGGCCTTCAGGGCAATGACCCCATCCAATGTTAAACAGATATTTTTATATGTAATTTCAAATTGATGATCCTATGAAGGAATCTTAATCATTAAAACAAACAGACCGTTGCTTTTTTTTTATCCTTTGGGAAAACAGACGTGGATTCTCTCCAATTTCCATTTTTTGGGAAATTTACGTAAGTACCACATAATTTTTATGGATTTACATATCTAACACCTAAAGTTGGATTTTTTACATTTATAATAACTGAGTGCTATAAACCGATAGCATACAACGATGAATTTCACTCTTAAAGTAACTAAAAATTGTATCTTTGATTTGATGTTAGAGATTTGAATGTTACAAATGCAAATATTAAATTTAGGTGTTAGATATGTAAATACATAAGAGTGGTATGGTATGTATGTAAATGAACCTTTTTTTATGGAAGCTATATATTCACAATTCAATTTTATGAGCTTAGAAATACAACTATCTCATTTAATTAAGGGATAAGTACATACAAACCACCCGAAATATTGATATTTACAAATTAAACAAGAGTGATATTTTTTAACAACCGAACTGATGATTTACGAGTGCCACGGCCAACCTATTGAGAATTTGATAAAAATGAAAAACATGGGTTGGGATTTTACCATGAATTTTGATATTAAAGTGAGAATTTGAAAAAAGGATGAGAGAGGGTGACTGATTTGTAAATAGCAAGTTTCGGGTGGTTTGTATGTAATTGTCCCTTTAATTAATAGCTCATGAATCGTTTTAATTCAATCTGATAGCTTGCATATTCTTGTCCTTGAACCCAATTTCCCACCATAGTGATGCAAGTTTGAAGCGCAATAACCTTACTGTAGTTGCCCTTAAGGCTCAAATTCAAAAAAAAAAAAAACTCGCATCCTCATAAATAATTGTTGAAGTCCTTTACAAACATATCATGCAATGCTTATATATTTACATATCTAACACCTCAATTCTCATATATATATATATATATAGCACTCAAGACTTTGATATCACATCAAAAACAACACTTCTACTTACTTTCTAAAAGTGAAATATATATTTTCATGTATAAATTTATGTCACCAGAATAAAATAAATGAATAAAAAAGTTCTAAGTTTTAGATATGTAAATACAGAAAAATTATGTAAATTTCCCAATTTTTTACAGGAATACCTGAGAGTCTGAATGCTTAGCTTCCCAAGTTTCTGTTTCAAAATGGTCTGGTATACTGTTTTATGTCATAGCAGCAGAGTCTGAATCACAATTATTCTTCAACTACCACTTACTCAAACAGTACAATTTCTGACTGTTCTTTAATGGGCGGTAAAGTTAATATATGGGGAAGAAAGCACTAAATCTCTTTATGGCCTCTTGTAATTGGATTAATTGCTGCGACAAGCTCATAAAGGATATTTCGTGGGAGGAATTTGAAATTTAGGAGAGATTTAATTCAAAATAAATAGAGAAATTAATTAGCTGGATGTAAATTAAATGCAATAATTGCTTTAGGATGTAGCAACAGGCAACCAATGGTGGGCATTGGCCGAAGAAGAAAAGGTCGAGAAAATAGTCTGGACGCAATTTTAGAATATATATTGGGCCAATTACATGCAGACCACCGGAAACTTGCTATTTATAAATCAATCATCCTCTTTCATCCATTTTTCAAAATCTCGCTCCAATATCAAAATTCATGATAAAATCCCAACCCATGTTTTTCAATCGTGGCACTCGTAAATACATCGGTAAGGTAGTTCAAAAAAAGCATCTTGAAGATTAATAATGGGTAAATATCAACATTTCGGGTGGTCGGTATGTAATTATCCCTATATTCAAATGAACTAAACGATGAATTACAGATATGTCAATAAATAACAGTGGATTTATTTTTCATCCAATCAAATGTCAAAATTCTGAAAATTTTCTGTATTTTACTTCAAACAATGCATCCTAATTGATCTAAGGAAATTTTAATATTAATTTTTATTTACTTTCATATTCGATTTACGGGAAAATAACATTTATTTTTGCACTGATATTTGCTGGTTGTTAAAAAACAGAGTGGAGATTACAGATTACTTACTGTCATGCTCATCAAGGTCTATGCTGAAGTCTTTGGTTCTGCGACGACAGCAAGCCAGCCTTCGCATCATCATCCTCACTTCCAAGCTTCGAACCTAATTAAGAAAAGTATAAGATAGTCGATAACAAAAAAGAGATTAACACCGGTTAAATTTATCAGATCGCATCTCCATTAATTAATAACGAAAAATGTCCGATGTGATTAAAGCCCTAATCCTTTACTAATTAAGAATAGTATAAGATAGTCGATAACAAAAAGAGATTAACACCGGTCAATTTTATCAGATCGCATCTCCATTAATTAAAAAAGAAAAATGTCCGATGTGATTAAAGCCCTAATCCTTTTCAGAAGGACAGGGGAAAGAAGAAAGGAAAAAGGGAACTCGAAGTTCAAATTTCAAAAACAGCCAGCCCGGACGCAGCGGGCAAGAAAAGAAAAAGGATCCGAATTAATCCATCGAAAATGGAGGCATTGAACAAGGGATGTTTCGTGTTTGTGCAGTACATTTATCTAAGAAGATATAAGAGTGATACCTAGAGATGAACCAGAGGTCGGGGAGCAAGCGAGCTAGAGATCCCCTAACTAGTCAGCACTAGTGGAGTTGCGAGAGTGACGATAAGCTTCTCCGGAGGTGGATCTACCATCCAAATGGATCTGATGAAAGCCAAACAGAAAATGGCATTGAAGAACGCCGAAGAAAACGTTGATACAAAAGGGCAAGAAGAAAAAAACAATGTTGGCTTCAACCTCACCGGCCCGACAGATCAAGCTACCGAAGATCTGGCATTTCTATTACTGAGAACAGAGAAACGAAGACTGAAGAATGGATTAAAGAAAGGCAAGGCGAAAGCTCCAATCAGTGAAGATAGCGGGGATGACGAATGGTTGGAACAGGTGCAGGGGAAGAGGAGCAGGACTGGGGTCGCCTCAACAGAGACTCCTATGCTGCTATTTTACCTAACGCTATTTATTATGACCGTATAAATGTTCAAGTGATTGAAGATGTGGATCACACTATATAGTATGTGTTCATATGTAGATCACACCATATAATTTATTTGACATTATGGTGCTAGTGAGTTAAATAGATTTGTGAGTGGATTCAAGTTTGGATTGACAAGTGACTCGTAAACTGATTTTGATGAACAAACTAGTTAAGCTCAAGCTGCTCGTTTAAAAAATATTAATATAATATATATCCAACAAATATTAAATTTGAATATTTTATTTTTAAAATAGTAAAAATGCTTTAAAATATATTTTACATTTTTATTAAATATTTTCCTTATTTCTCTCCTAATTGCTTTTTTTTGTCATTTTGTCATAACATTGTTGTGTATACCATCGGAAATACTAGCATGAATCTTAAAGCCAGAGACGAGCTGATGGTCAGATACCTTGCCATGACAAAAAATGAAATTGGAAGATACAAGAGCTTCTGCATCGAGTGTGTCAATTGGGGGGACAATCAAGTCGGCAATATCCTCTCTAAACGCATCAGACTGGGAGGAATACCCAAAAAACTTACTAGGCCAATAGTCAACGAAATGGAGGTCATGGAGGTTGCGAACGACGGGACCAGGAGTTGGATGGATCCATACATCTTCTACCTAGAGATTGGAA